TCATGTCTTCACTTACAGCCATCTATTTATTCATGAAGTCACTCGTGCATTCTCTTATTCGTCCTATATTCCCTTCTCCACTCCACTCATTTATTTCCTTTTTTTTTTTTTGAGCCGGAGTCACTCCGTCGCCCAGGCTGGAATGCAGTGGCACGCTCACGGCCACTGCAGTCTCAACCTGCTGGGCTAAGGCGATCCTTCCGCCTCAGCCTTTCAAGTAGCTGGAGCTACAGACGCATGTCACTACGCCCGGCTTATTTTTCGATTTATCGTAGAGACGAGGTCTCACCAAGTCGCCCAGGCTGGTCTCAAATCCTTGAGCTTAGGCAGTCCTCTTGCCTCGGCCTTCCAAAGTGCTGGGATTACAGGCTTGAGCCCCAGCGATTGGCCTAATTTATTTACTTATCATTCATTTATTCACTTATCATTCATTCATCTATTCACTTCCTCCCAATCACTTGCTTCCTGATTTGCACATTCACTCACTTATGGGATCATTCTGGGCCCAGCCCTGTGCTTGGATAATACTGGGGTCACAGGGGTAACTAAGGCAGACCCCATTGCTGCCCATGGAGAGCTCAGAGTCCAAAGGGGAAAACAGCCTTGTCTCCAGAGAGTGACAGCCCTGGGTGGTTAGGAATATATTGGGGGAATTGGGGGAGTGTGCCATTGTGGGAGCCCAGAGAAGGCAGCTGGTCAAGGTTTAAAGTCAGAGAGAGCTTCCTGGAAGAGGAACTGTCTGAACTGAGACCGGAAGGAAGAGTATGTATGAGTGAGTCAGCTGAGGGAATGGGAATGGAAGTCCAGGAAGCAAGATCTGCATGTGCAAAGGCCAGAGGTGAGCATGAGCCTGGCCTCAGTGTAGAGGGCAGGACAGAGCATGTCAAGAAAGGAGGCTGCAGGTGTGACCTGGCTCTTAGATAAGGAAGGGCCTTGGATGCTGTGCAAGAGGCTTAAAGATGATTTGGGGCACAGGGTCCTTGGATGCATTCTCCCTGTGATCTGCTCCCTGTGTCCTCCCCAGGCATGGGTTCAGGAGCGGCTGCCACTGGCCATGCAGACAGAACGGGGCAGTGGTTTGCAGGCGGTGCAGCAACACATCAAAAAGAACCAGGTGAGCAGAGCCAGGTGAGGGAATAAGGTAGGACATGTTTAGATACAAGTAACAGGAAACTGCTGAAAGTGGTTAAAACCAAAAAAGGGAAATTTATTGGCTCTTGTCATTGAAATGATTGTGGATAGCAGGTACAAATCCATCCAGGTGCTTCTAGATATTTTTATGACTCTCCCAGCTCTGGTTTTGTTTTTTCTTTCCTGTGTTAACTTTGTTCTCAGGTCAACTCTCCTCTCTGTCTGATGAAAAGCCGCCAACAGATTCAGGTTTACATTTCACTGCAAAACTGAAGAGAATTTCTCTCTCTTTCTTTTTCTGAGACAGGATCTTGCTCTGTTGTCCAGGCTGCAGTGCAGTGGTGTGGGCACAGCTCATCGCAGCATCAACCTCCTGGGCTCAAGCAATGTTCCTGTCTCAGCTTCCCAATTAGCTAGAACTGCAGGTGTGTGCCACCACGCCTGACTTTTTTTTTGTTTTTGTTTTTTGTTTTTATGGAAGTGGAGTCTCACTATGTTGCCCAGGCTGGTCTCAAACTCCTGGGCTCAAGTGATCCTACCATCTCAGCCTCCCAAAGTGCTGGGATTGCAGACATGAGCCACAGCACCCGGCTGAGTTTCTACCTCTCAATAGTTTAATCAGTAGTCCGAGGCACAACTCTTACTGGCTCAACTTGAGTCACATGCCCAGCCCTGAACTAATCATGACAGCCAGGAATTTGGACTACTCCTTAGAACTTGCCAATGAAGTTGGCCTTAACGACGTGGGCTGAAATTGAGGCAAGGGGGGTTTCCAAAGGAAAATCAGAGTCTTGTGACTAGAAGTGAGGAGAATGGCTGTTGAGCAAAGAAAACACAACAGCAAGAAACAAAATCTCAAGACACCCATAAATAGGAGCAGATAATCAGCAAGGTGTTGATCCCTAAGCTGAGGACCAATCTCCAGGGCAGGAGAGGGGGCAGATGAGCCCCTACAGCTCTGATCTCAGTTCACCCCTTTTGGCTTCAGTTTCCACATCTAAACAAGTAGAGAGTTGCTCTAGAGCAGTGGTTCTCAAACTGCAGAGCAGGGGAATCCCTTTGGCAAAGCAACACTTTCATAAAAGCCCAAAGTTAGACACATAAAATAACAAGAATGCATTGATTAAAGACTTTCTATATGCTAAGTACTGTCTAGGGGATTATGTTGACTAATCCCCTCAGTAACCCTGTGAGGTGGATATTGTCACTATCTCTATTTTATCAAAAAATATAAGCTGACAGAACAGGACACTGAAGGATGTTGTTTTTGGAAGGTTAGTGACCATGTTACACTAGATGGAGTTCTTTAAGAGACTGTGGTTTTTCTCTCTTTTCATTTTTCTATTTTGTTGTTGCTGTTGTTTTTGTTGTTGTGAGGTGGCGTCTCACTCTGTTGCCCAGGCTGGAATGCAGTGGCATGATCACAGCTGACCACAGCCTCTACCTCTTGGACTCAGGCGATTCTTCTGCCTCAGCCTCCCAAGTAGTTCGGATTACAAACTTGTGCCACTGCGCCCAGCTAATTTTTTAATTTTTTTTGTTGTCCAGGCTGGTCTTGAACTCCTGGGCTCAAGCAATCCTCCCATTTTGGTCTCTGAAAGTGCCAGGATTACAAGCATGGGCCACTGTACCTGGACTGTTTTTCTATCTTGGTGAAAATACTCTTGGCTGTCAACAGTGGTGGGAACAGACAGAACTGGCTCACCATGTTCACAGTCAAGGAAACCTATCAAGCACTTTTAGCGCTTGGAATTGGGGGAGCTCGGACGAGTGTGCCATGAGAATGCTGGACACACGCTGCTCAGCAGACACCAGTGGCTACTAGTGACTGTTCATCTGCTGCATGACAGGCTCAGTTCTAAGTGCTCCAGGCCTTAACACCTCCCACCAACCCCACAAGGTAGATCCTCACAGGCCAGCACCAGACACATGACTCTGGCGAGTTTCTCACCCTCTCTGCACCTCAGTTTCCTCACCTGTAAAGTGGGAATGATGATGGCTCCTGGGGATGCAGTGGGGAGACATGTGGCTACATTGTATGAAGCCCTTGCTTAGCAAAGCGCCTGGCAGTGTGGGCTGTTACTATCTCCAGGAAACCGAGGCTTGTAAGAAATTAAACTAAGGCTGAGCAAGAGCAGGGCTGCTTGGGGGGAACCTTAGTGTTCCCTCTCTTGATCTGGATACACCACAGTCTGCACGTGTGAAAATGTGTGGAACCGTATACGTAAGATGTGTATACTTCACTGTATATAAATGATACCTCAGCTGCTAGGCAGCCGGGGTCTCAGGCCTGCCTCGGGGACAGCGGGCTTCTTGGTTTAGAGCGCAGTCTCTGGAGCCAGTCTCCTGCGTTGGAATCCTGGCACTCCCGCCCGGCCACCTGCAGCATGGGAGTGCGAATGCTTACTCGGCATGTGGTCAGCGACCTGGGGGTGCCAGTTCCGCCTGTTCCCCCTCTGTTGGTGCCGGGGGCTGTGCCAGCCCCAGAGGAGCACGCGGTCTCGCTGGCACCCGGACGCCCCTCCCCACCCACGCCCCCCGCCTCCCG